CTGGCGTCACAGACCCCATGAAATGGTCTGTCCTGATCTGCAATCGCCAAGATCGACGATTGCATCAAGCTTTGCTTGATACCTTGAAAGGAACGCTGGCACTCAGCGTTCCATGACCACTTGACATTTTTCTTGAGCAAGCAATAAAGATGAACAGTCATCTCGGCATAGTTGCGCGAGTACTTGTGCAAGTACGCCGCTAGACCAAGGAACTTCCTTAGTCCCTTGATATCGACTGGCACTGGCCAGTCGGTGATCGCCTTGATCTTTATGGGATCAGGGCGTACGCCGTGTTTACACACGATGCACCCAAGAAGTGTATATTCGCGGCTAGCGAAATACCACTTCATGAGGTTGGCGTACAACTTATGCTTGCGCATAAGTTGAAGAACCTGACGAGCGCGAGTTCTGTAAACTTCAACGTCCGTCTTTCCGTCCATATCCCGGCTATGGACGAACACATCGTCGAAGTAACTCGGTGCGAAGTCTCGCACCGGTCTCAACAGATTTGTGACACATCTGTTGAATGTTGCAGGGGCATTGCTCAGCCCCTGTGGCATCACTAGCCACTCCCACATCATCCCGCTGGGGGTACTCACTGCCGTGAACGGGACGTCCCGTTCACGCATCAGGATCTGATAGAATCCATCCATCAGATCCATGGACGAAAAGATGGTACTCTTTGACATACCATCTATGATTACGTCCTTCCTCGGTATCGGCGTCTGAGCCGGTACCGTTGCAGCATTCAATTTGTTGAATGCGTGCACTATCCGCCACCCTCCTGTGGCCTTTCGCACACAGAAGGTCGGAGAGCTGTGAGGGGATGTTGATTCCCTCACATGGCTCGCTGCTAAGCGATCGGCAAAGAACTTGTCGATCGCTAGTACTTGTTCACGAGGCAGTGGCCACTGCTTCATGACACAGTATTTCGAGCCCGGTCTGGTCTCGATCTCGTGTCGAGTGCCTTTGTCCTTAGGCAACTCGCAAGGCACGGATTCAGGGAACACATCCCTGAATTCGATCAAATCCTTATACAAAGGATTTGCCTGAAGTGACTCCCAGGATTGGGACGCGTATCGCTCAATCCGAGTCTTCTCATCGGGGACACTTTCGTCCATCGATGAGCTGCTGAGAACCCGTTGGTTCTCAGCAAATACTGTTGCCGACCGAATGTCGGTCACATACTCGTCCTCTGTGACGAGTATGCAGATCTGCTTGACTTTGCCACTACGCAGATCACGCAAGAACCGTTTCGGTTCTAGCGTTGGCAACTGAGTTATCTCCGAAGTCAACTTCGGAGGCACAATCAGATCAAGCGTATAAGCGCCTACGCTTGATCCGTCATTAACCAAGACGTTCAACGTCTCGGTTACTTCCTGGGAACTTGCTTCCACAGGTTGCTGAGGGCCTAATCCCTCAGCAAGCGACTCTTGAGGAATTCCTTCCTCAAGTACGTGGGGACTTATTCCCTCTACATCTTCTGACTGTGGCTGTGCAACCACAGTCAGGGACCTGTCCTCTACGGTCGACTCTCCAATCGACCTAGGATTTCCATGTTGCCCCTTGGAGGCAACAGGTTTCTTCTGTCTAAGATGCTGCCCGCTAGGCATGCATCCATGTCCCGGTCCAATCGACTTATTCGAGTGGTGGACCTTCGGCGCAGCCTGTACTTCTGTACAGCCGCCGGGAGCATGCTCCACAGTGTAGTGATCAACTACACTGTGATCTTGTGCAGTCGTGCTAACGACCGAACCGCAAGTGAGGCCAGCGCACTCACTCGCAGAACATCCACACGCTTGTGGACGCTCCAAGATGTTCATCAGATGGCCATCTGATGAACAAGCAGCAGGCATCTTCACGGATCGATGCTGCCAGCTCACCCTTTGCTCGTACTTTCTGAGCCAAGGCAATCCCAGGATGACATCAAATTTGTCATCCAGATCCAGTACGATGAATTCATCATCGTACTGTTCGCCCTCTAACGTTTAGTGGATTCCGACTACACGTTTCTCAACGGCTATCGATGCGCCTATTGCAAGGCGCACCGTCATCCTTGTGAGGGGAATGTCGCGCTCAACGAACTTGAGCCTGCGATCTTCCAGTGACTGGCGACGAACAAAATTGTTCGACGCCCCACAGTCTACTAGGGCACGAAGCGACAAATCATTTGTCACTTCCAACTTCAATGTGATGAGCGAAACGTCATCACCAGGTGCAGAGACACACAAATGATTGTGTATCTGGAGCAACTTTCGTCAAGAGATTTGCAAATTCTCTTGAGGTTGCTGGATCAGTAGGGCGCTCCGCCCCTACTGACCCCGACCATTTTTTGATGGTCCGTCTCGCTGTTGCGGCTTCGCAACAGCGCTGGACCCACTCCCATTGCCCTTCTTGGCGAATGGTCGTCCATTTCGCTCAGTACTGTTTGTTACTGGGCGTGGAGCACTACACTTGTATGCGTAGTGCCCTAACTTCTGACAGCGATTGCACCTCTGCAATCGCTTGTTGTTTGAAGAGCGAGGTCTCTCGCTCTCAATATAACAGAGGTCCATTGGTTCTGGACCTCCGATCTCTTGTCGTCTTGGTGGAAGATAAGAGTTTGAGCTAGCATGAGACAGGCTCATGCTGTCTTCCTGTTCCGCGGCTGATATCGCTTCTTCAAGCGTATTCAGCTCCAGGCGGAACAGGTGGCTCCTGACGGGCCCTTCGGCGAGCCCTTGCATGAACACCGTAATCAATGTGTGTTCATGGACTGAATTAGCAGTTATACTGCTCGCGAGGAGTCGTATATGTTGAGCGTAAGCGTGCACATCACGCTTACCCTGTTTGAGTTTCAGGAGCTCTAAACGAGCTCTGGACGAGCCCTGAACTTAGCCTGTGGCAGCTCAAGTGTTTGTCGGATCCGGGACTTGAAGTCATCTAGCGACCTAAACACATTTGGGTCGCTACTCTCGAGCCCCAGGGACCAAGTTTTGGCACGTCCTGCCGAGTGGGTTTGAGCAAATTTAAGTTTCATTTCCTTATCGTCGACACGACGTGCCTTCAAGGCTCTGTCGAGTTCGACGAACCACAATAACAGGGAGTCTTCCGGGACTCCACTGTACTTGTAGATGTCAACTTTCATGACTTCAAGACGACGCGCATGTGCCGTCCCGCCCACAGCAGCATGGAATTGCTGCTGTCTCAACAGCTCTGTCTGTTGAGCACCGAGTTCTCTCAACTGCTCGGCCTGTTGATAGCCTTACGGGTGAACCAAGGATACTTTCCCCCTCCAGATGGCAAGTTCATGTTGTATGAACTTGGCTATAGCGGCATGTTGTTGGTCTCTGTCTAGAGACTCCAACATGGCGCTAATGGCGACCTCGCGTACGGTAGAACTCATTCGTTCTACCGCACTCCATTCTATGTCACTCAAATGGTTAAACCCTTCACGCGTGGCGTGAAAGGTCTCTTCATCATCCAACATGTTCATGTTGGATGTTGTGGTCCTTGGAAGGACTACAAAGTGCTACCAGGTGTAACGGGGCACACCCTTGCGTGAACTTAACGCAAGGGTATCGGTGCCCCGACAGACGTACACAAGGCAAGCGAGGAAGCGTAGGTAGGGTAAAAGCAGAACTGTTATAATAATATAATTAAGTCTTTTGCTACTGTCTCTCTGTTTGACTTAACTTAATTATGCTAATATAACTGAGTGTATGATGACGTCTCGTCACCACTCATTGCGCGCGTCTTGCGGCGATTGGTGGGTTGATATCATCAAGATATCAACCAATGAACAGACCCTTTGGTCGACCCTTTAATATCACCGCTTCGGTGATATTGTTTAAAGAATATTCAACTTCATAATCTTTATTGTCGTAGTTTCTTTAAAGTGACAATCTCATGTAACGGGCTGCCCCGTTACAACGTCCGTATATCGCTTCTCCATCCGCCGTCGTCAGCCTGATTATCCGACATGACGCTCATCTTCTCCCGTCCCAGATGTCAACTTGTCACTTGCTCGTCCCATTCGTCACGCTCGTAAGGCAATCAGATGAAGTCGCCCACAACCTGTAACAGGAGTTGCAGCTACGGTCGCAACTTCAATTTCCTGTCAAAAACAATGCTTTCTAACAGACGGGACGCGCAAGCGGATAAGCAGGAGTATTTTTCGGAATGGAGGTCAACCCCGCGCCACTTGTCGCCGTTGCGGCGGTTGCACAGTCCAAGTCCGGGGGTCGCGTATGCAGCCGATGGAAGTTACAATCGCGGATGGTAGTGATCCAAGGGGAGAACATTTGGCGGATTGGGATTCTAAACGCCTCGCACTTACTTCGGTGATCGCAGTCCACGTCGAGGGGTTGCACGAGCGGCTGATAGGGGCCACCATCGCACATGGGTGAGCTCCTCGGAGAGAGAAAACGGCAGTTTATCGTTTCCGCGCCTCGCAGTCACTTCGGTGATCGCAATCCAAGTCGAGGGGCCGCGCAAGCGGTCATCAGGGTTTCCCTACGATCTGTGCCTTCGCTTCGGCGATTGCACACTTTTTTCCAATCCGGCCGCCCGGGCGGCCGTGACAAATAACGAACGATACACGTTTGTCCGTTAGTTACAGCAGCTACGTCTGACAAACAGAGAGCGTCCCTTTAGGAGACACGCCCCGTACATTCACTGGACTCGTATGACCATTGGCGTTGCCATCCGGGCTTAGGAACTTTTCAGACATCTTGCAACCTTACGCAGTTAAATAGACACGTCTACCTCTCTCTCTCTCTCTCTCTCTCGCATACGCCCCTTGACGAAGAAAGCTGGTTTTGACGAAGCCAGACCAGCTCTTATTATGCGACAGTAGTACCATATTGATTCTTGCGCACAAGAAAAGTACGGACTGGATCTGGTACGACAGACAACATTTGACAAGAGCAAAACTGGCATGTTCACGCAAAGCAGCGGCTGATAGGGATTGCGGCATGCATCTCTCATTCTGCAATTGCCTGGCAGAGGCGAGTATCCTCATGCGCTTGCTCAGGTATGTACTCACGGCCTTGGCGTTCTTTGTTGCAGAAACTGCTGGGTCAGCAAACACTGTCGGATTTCAGGCCAAGGTTGCTGCCCGCACCACGTCCCCAGCTCTCTCTCGCACGAATGAGACCCTGTCCTTTGCGTCAAGTGTTGGTAAACACCACGACCGTCCTGTGTTCGACATCAACGACGAAGACCAGAACGAGGAGGAGAGGGCCATGCCGTTCGCAAGTCACTTCGAATCAATCCTAAAGTGGTTCAGGAGCTTCTTTGATGGAACCAAGACTAAAACGCTCGTCGGAAATGTCGTTGGGCGCATGACGGCGGAGCAGATCGTCGACAGAAGAAAAGTCGTCAAGATGGATGAGTTTGTGCAGCTGCTAGCTAAGGAATTCCAAGTTCCGAACCGCCGTTGGAATTACGCTAAGGTGGTCGACTCCTTAACGACCACAGGCGTACCTTCCAGTGTCAACCAACCCCATGTGGAGTATGAAGATCTGATAACAGCTTTTGTTTCGCTTCGAAAACTTCGTCACATGGGGGTTCACGCTGACCGCATGCATGCGGCTTTAGTTGAGAAGATGGGACATAACTTACCGGAGAGGTTATATGCCCAGTGGATCAAGCTGGGTTTAACTCCCGATGAAGCTCTCGAGATCGTTTTGACTGGGCATGAAGCAAAGTTTTCACTATTCCGTAGGTATTACCACGGTGTGGATGCTATCGTGCACGACGTTATGCGTCCGGTCAACGTGGTGTACAACTACGTCGAAGCATACCGGCTTGGACACAGGTACAGCGAGGACGCCGAGACGAAGCTGTACAAAGTCGTCACGGACACGCTGAAGAAGCGAGGTGCCCATCGTTCGGCTGGAAAAACTGGACATGGACATGACGCGGAACCGTTACATGATTTTGGGGATATGACGATGGATGGAGCCGGATTTGGTGACTTTGGAATGTGAAGCTGAGCGCTGCCCACCCTGATGTAGTTGTGCATATCGTGGATGCATGGTACGGAGTTAGTGATACGTTGTTTGTTTTCATATCTGTTTAGAAGTAGCGACATTGAATGCACACACTTTGACTTACCGTAACTTACAAGGAAAACTTTAACCACGACAGCCTGTCCATCACAATGAGCTTCATTTCTTCAGTATGTAGTACAAAATCAAGTGAGGAAGTTTGCTACATGTTCCGCAGGTGTCGTAGGAGCAAGGCAAGCGAGTACAATATGATAACACTCGCAAAACATCAGTTTGATTACAAAAAAGCTATCGTTTTGTGGGCGTTGTCATCAACTTGGCATTGCAGTCAGCGAACATACGATCGGCGAGCACAGAATGTGTCATGATCGAAGCCCCCCATCCGATCATGACACATTCTGTGCTCGCCGATCGTATGTTCGCTGACTGGCGAGTCGAAGCATGGGACACACATTTTCCAAGCAGCGCGGACGACATTCCTCGATTAAGTGGCGTCTGAATACGCGCTTGTAGCGAAATGCACGCTTGCAGCTAGTACCGCATATAGTATGCTGGAGCAAATTGTTCGGTCGGTTGTTTCCATCGCGACTACACTTGACCGACTCCACGTGGCCAGGCAACATCTCATCGTCTAGTACATCTATCCGTTGCAACGTCCACATCGTACAATGACGCATCGCACACATCGTATAAGTGATAGCGTAGCTGTTGTACAGATCATCTCCCGAAAGGCAAACGTCAATGCACGGACGTGCGACGATGAGGCCACCGATCGATTCGACGCACTGGCGACTGCAGATGATTCGTTGTGTGATCGTTAGCACCTGGTCGCAAAGTGTCCATCGCCGGATTACCGATCGTCGCTTGGGTCGACTAATGCTCCTTCTACGACAAGGCATTCGGCAGAAAGACATCCCACACGAGACAGAAGATCGTGAGCGACGTCTTTTCACTCCTCGTAGTCGCTCACTGTCTGAGCCGAGTCGTAGCTGACGAGCAATATCTCTGTGTAGTGAAAGGCTCGAAACAGCCCAATGCAGAACGTATATCCGTGACCCTCTGCCCGCTATGCGTGCGCCCACTAGACATGAGTAGGCTCACAATAGCTGTGTTTCCCGTGCCTGCTGCATAGCACATCACCATATCCCCGAACAGCGTCGACCAATACTTCATTGTCATGACGCTTGATCACACATGCCGCTGCCGTACACATCATCAATGCTACCGCGCCTGCTGTGAACCTCCCCCCACATCAAACTATCCGAACAGTGCAGCAGCTTGTCACAGCTCGTCTTTCCTGCGTCTCCGTACTAACTTGATCATGTACGTTTGCCCATGCATTCCAGATCCAGCTCAACATAATGCCTTGCGCTTAACATGCACTCAAGCATATCATCCTCCATTCCGACGCGAGTGACGATGTCCCTTCATGTCATTGCTCACTCTTTGTGTGCAACATCGCTCGAATGCCCCCTGATAAAGTCTCGGCTGCAGACGCCAATTGTGTTACAACATCAAGCGTCCATGCAGAAACCAGTGAGATGCTGTGTGCGCTCTTCTGATGGCAACTTCATGCGATGTCAAGACACGATACACACTTGTTGCCACACGTCGTTTCTTCGTGACTTCAGCAAAAGCTCTATCTGCTCTATTTTCCTCATGCGGCTGTTCCTGTTTCTCCGTGGCATCATTGTCCTGTTCTCCGCCATCCCAGTGCGCTCTGAGTTCACTCACACAGATTGGGCCAGAGATCTTGACAGACGATGTTACGTAAGCGTATGACCTCTCACTGGCAGCGACCACGTCGTCACTGCGTTGCCGCTGTCCTGAGAGCAGTCATGATCGTCGCGGTTGTCGTCTTCTTCAAGGACGAGTTGCAACCACAAGCAAATCGACCGAGTGGCGAAGGGTAACTGTGCGCGGACTCTTCAATGACAGCAAATGGAAACAAGCCAACGATAATCACGATGACGCGTCACGGTAGCTCGATGACACGAGCGATGCAATAGAGCTCGAGTGAGTGCAATCACGATGAACCAGGTTTACCATGTTGTCCGCTGCATTCGCCGTCGGAGGGACTTGCGTTAGACGAGTCTCTGTACCAAGCGTCGTGAGAGCAGTCAGAGAGGGACAGAAGTGCTTTCCGGACAGCTGGCAGATAGCGGCGGCGAAAGAAGATGATGTTCGCGACGACGTAGCATCATGTCGTAGTGATCTAACCTCCGCATGGACACACCTCTATATGATTAGCCTTCGGCGGATATCGGGAAACGGGTTGTGTGTTGCGTCGAGCTGCCCATCGTGCCAGGAAGCTCATCCAGTAACTTCACCACCAGCTGTTCAACCAGTCAAGTGGGAGTCACGCTCAGCGGCATACTGCTTATCGTAGTTCACTTCACTAAAACACTGGTGAGCGGTCATGAAGCGTGGCGCAGAAGTCATATCGCTCGAACCACGCTTGAGAGATGCGCCTTCCACAGCATGTCATCATCTTTCCGGAAGTCAAGCTCACCTCAGGTCGAGCAGTGATCAAGGCTCGGTGCCTATTCTTCGTCAAGCTGCAACTTTCTCATACGCCAATGGTCGAAGAGGCCGTATGCGCTCATGGTATGTACAGTGTTTCACGATCGTGTCATGGGAAGAGATGATGGATGAAGACAACGACGCTGGGACGACTTGCGGGAAATCAACAGAATGACGGCGCTGCTCGTGAATACCGGAGCGTTTGTCGTTGCCGTTGCTGTTGTGAACGGTATGCGCCCCATGATGTGGGTTGCTCATACTGTGCTCGACGTTGCTCGACGTTCACACCATGAGATATGAAGCGACGCCTTGCCAGTAGCTCGAGTACATTATCATCACAGGATCGAACAGCACAGGTTGGAGTGGTTGAGCATGAGCCATGATTGCGTATGCTATGCAGATGGCTGACGGCGCCTTTTCGTAGCAAACTTCGTTTCACGAGGCTGATCTTCTACTGCGATACCAGCAGGTCACTTGCAATTGTCATTCCAAGTACTTCCGCCCACGAATTGATGAAAAAACGGCTTCTTTGCACAGCGATCGTGGCAAGCAGGTAAGTCAAAAAGTCCGGACGCGGAAGCCGTTGAGCTCTCCAAGATCTCGGCACACCCGCGTCACAACATCTGCCGCTGTACGCTTCAACGCGGACTGTACGGCAAGCAAAGCCGTTGCTTGAGAAGTCGAGCTAATGTTTTATTCAGAGCGAAAGACGATCGCAATGGTACCTGCTGCCCCATACAACCATATCGTCATTCTGATATAGCGGGACGCACAAGCACAAAAAAGATGCCTTACGTCCTCTGTGAACGGACAGATGCAACGGGGAGCACGGAAATGATCGAAGATCAGAGACTGATCGATGCTTTTGTCGACATACAACGCGCACCGCAACCGGAAGACGAGGGATATACCAATCGATCCTGTGCGCCAATCCCACTCAATTGGGATTGCTATGCAGCTATCGAGCAACCGATAAAACAAGTTGTGAAGCCGACTGGAAGTCTGACCGGTAAACTTAGGCCAGCGAGGACAGGCTAGTTCCAGATCGGTTGCACTCAACTTGAGCACCCATACGTCTGGCGAACTGCAATGTGGGGTCGCAGCACTGTAGCTGACCATGGCCCGAAGGTTCCAACTCTTTCGGCAGGATATGTTTCCCGATCCAGCAGACCGTTATCTGATCGGCTTCTAGGAGTAACATGTCGAATTGGATCGGTACGGTAGCGTCTGGCCCCGCTTCGCGAAGGGCCTCACCCATAACGATCCATCCACGCGCTTGCAGTCGAGCAGTGAGCCAAGTCAGCTGCACCGAGTCCAACATCGGTGCTATCGCGCACACCAGTCACATGACTCGGAGCTGTCGAACCGAAGTGGCTCGTAGGCGTCAGGAACCTCATGACCTTCGACTCCGACACCCGGGACATTCTGCTAAGCTGATGCGTACGACGCGTGAGGCCGCATACGAACCCACGGGTTGGCCCAATGCCGTGTCTGCAATGGAAGACGAGTAACACGTCCACGCGCGAGCACAGACGTGTCCCTATGCAGCACGAAGGTAACCCATCGTCTAGACTCGGTGTCGGTCCACGTGGCGCACATGGCTTCACATTGGACACGAGCGGTTGCGAGACTACACGCAGGTACGCATAGACTTTACGCAGGTACAAATGAGCAAGAGATCCATTGGTGGCGCAGTCATGCGACCGGTTGACGGCAAGCAAAGTCGATCGCCGTCGGATAAACCGTCCGATCCGCCGTCGGACAAGTTCGGTATGAACCGGTACAAAAACCGAAACAAAATGAGTCCCGCGAATGTCGCGCGTGTGGTCTGTCGTTCAAGCGGAAAACTGGTCGATCTCATGTGACGCACATGGATCGAATGACAGTACCTGATTGGCTCAAACTAGCTCGTGGCTTCATCCGTCCGTGCCAGCTGGATCGAACCTGTCGTCGTCCTCCCTGTACCTCGCTCGAATGACCGATGGCTACTTGACTTGCTCTGACACGTCACTCGCACGAGGTCATCGGACCGCTTGTCCTTTTTCCGTCCAGCACTCAAGCGCAGGTAGCACTCGCAAAACATCAGTTTGATTACAAAAAAGCTATCGTTTTGTGGGCGTTGTCATCAACTTGGCATTGCAGTCAGCGAACATACGATCGGCGAGCACAGAATGTGTCATGATCGAAGCTCCCCGTCCGATCATGACACATTCTGTGCTCGCCGATCGTATGTTCGCTAACTGGCGAGTCGAAGCATGGGACACACATTTTCCAAGCAGTGCGGACGACATTCCTCGATTAAGTGGCGTCTGAATACGCGCTTGTAGCGAAATGCACGCTTGCAGCTAGTACCGCATATAGTATGCTGGAGCAAATTGTTCGGTCGGTTGTTTCCATCGCGACTACACTTGACCGACTCCACGTGGCTAGGCGACACCTCATCGTCTAGTACATCT